CTCTTGCTTACATGTCAACTGTTACTTTTCTCTCTCTTGTTCACTTATATGTTACTACTATGCCACAGAGAAGCCTGCAAGCTAGATCTTTCATTTATACCTCAAGCTATGACTAGATTTTTTTCCCAGAGCAAACCTTTATAACTGTACTTGGTGCAGTGGCTAAAGTGACGGTGAAAAAGGGAATGCTGAGGCGATCAGTTAAAAAAATAAATAAATCTAGTGCCAGCAAATCTGGAGTATTTACATTCTCTGGGCTCTTGTGCAAGAGACCCTGAGAGCAAGAGTGACCAGATGTGATTTGAAGGAAATATATTGTTTCTATGGATGGATTGATGTTAATTCTCTGGTCTTAAACTAAATGAAGTATTGATCATATAGTGTAAACCTGTTGATTATGGTGGTAATTTTGTTGCTTAAGTGATTTATACTAGTAAAACATGTAAACTAGCAGCCTAATGAAAGCATGTTAGAAAGCATTTGTTCATAAAGCTGGGATGGTTGTTAGTGTTCTCTTATTGCTCATTTCAAAAGTAAAGCAAGGGACCTGTGGGTGGTGCCTGTGAGCATACACAGGCCCTGCAGAATTGTTCCTGCTGCAAAGGGTGAACAAACTACACCTGGAATAACATCGTGGTTCAAACTGTCCCACAGCTCAAAAGTGCCTCAGCTGAGCAAGACTTTGGTGGGACTGAAGGCATTTAGCAATTTTAGTGGAACCTCCTTGCCAAGCTGAGTGCAAAACAAAAAAGGGTTTAAAACAAAATGATCAAAGGAAAATTAATATGAGTGATGCTTCCTTGACTATGAAGGTTTTTATTTTTAAAATATAAGCATAAATTAACATCTCAGTAACAGCTATATAGATTTAAATAAACAGGCAGAATGTAGATACAGATTCCATAGATAAGATTTCCAACTGTATCACCAGGCTGAATTCATTATGCCTGACAATGGCCCCAGGAGGTAGGCAAGTATTGTTATACCAATGCTTTGCATTTCTCTTGGAGGCAGTGGAGGTACTTGCACTAGAATTAACTGTACACAACTGCAAGTGTCCACAGGGTTAGCCCCAGAGCATAGACATTTATGGAGCCAAATGTCACCAAGAAATGGGAGTTAGTTTTACAAACCCTCCAAGAGCTGAAGCACATGGCATTGGGTAAGTGTAATGATCTGCCCAGGAAAATTGCTCTGTAAAAATGAGGGCACATCTGCTTTGGCAGCAGTATGGTCCTGGTTGTCCTGAGTGGAAAGGGGCAGGGTTCAGAAGTGTGATTTCCCCAGTACCTGGGCTCTTGCAGTCATCACTTCTAATGTGCATTTAAAACACATTTGACAGTAAAGCATTAGACACTGGTCATAGGAGGAGCCTAAGAAACATTTGCTGCTGGACCCTTTTCTGCTTTAAGCAATATTGCTCTGAATAAAGTAAATATGAACACTTTATTTGGGTGAGTATTCTGATGATGCAGTCCATGAGACTGAAAATAATTCAGCTGTACATTGTCTTTTTGTGTTTGTAGTAGCTCCTAGACGGGGTTTGCCATCTCAGGGAGCAGGCCAGCCACTGGGAAGGCAGAAATTCCCCTTCCCTGCTGCTGCAGGAGGCCTGGGCTGGTTGTAGCTGAGATTCAGTGAGGATTACCTGAACTCAGTGAGCAAGACTCACACCTTGGTCTCTATCCACTTGTGGGTTTTACTGCCTAAAGACCAGGAGCGGTACAAAGAGGGCTGTGTGTCCCCCCCAATATACTTTTCAAAAGGAAAGAAGGAAATGGGAGAACATGTGGGGAAAGGGAAGAGAAGGAATAAAATACTTTCTGACCAGTGGTGATGCCTGCAGAGAAGCTGTCTGATCTTGAAGTGGCATTGAATCAGCAATTAGACTGTTGAGTACAAACTGAGGACTGACCCGTGTGCTTTGTGTGCTTTCAAAATGTCTCTGGCTGTAATGATAGAGGAGGCTTTTTGCAAGTCTGCTGTCCCCCCTTTTGTAACCCACTTTTCTGTAACACTAGTCCGTTCCTGACCCCGAGTTGCTGCCTGGGCTCTTAACCAGGCTGGGGGTAGGGGGGAGAGGAAAGGAGGGCTGGGGGGAAAATATGCATAAAGATACTGGGGTAAGTTCAGTTTGTTTTCCTCTGAAAGCTTTGACACTTGCTTAGAGCAGATTCATTTTCAAGGCTTCCTACATTCCTGCTATTGTACAGTAAGTGTTTCAGACCGGTGTGCCTGTGTTTCCGACTCCCGTGAAGTCCCCTTTGCAGCAGGGCGTGCCTTGAACCGCTTCAAAAGAACCAACTTCTACAAAAGAAAAAAAGAAACTCAAGTAGGCTTGAACATACAAAGAGAGGGAGAAAGGAAAGTGAAAAGGGCCGGGCAGTGTTGAATACAAAATGAGTTCAGCCAGCCCCAGGAGTTCTTCATCACTTACATTTATCTTATTCTGGGAGAGCAGAGCTAAACCCAGTGCTGACATAAACCACCCTTCGCCTTTGACTTTGACTCTGAGAGTGTGCACACACAGCAGATACAGGCATACAGAGACCACTGGATTTCAATGAAACATTTTTCCCCCTCTGAGCAGTGGTGTTGGTGGGGAAAATGGCTTTTTGTGTGTGTCCTTTCAAAGGCAAACTGTGGAGTGAGTCTCAGATGCTTCCAGTTTCAAAGCGTGCATGCGCTCACAAAACAGGCACTTGAAAAATAAGCAGCTGTTACTGTTTCCCAGCCAGGAGCTTTTCCCATCCCAGCAGCATGCTGAGGTGTTCCGCGGATGTCCCCAGTGCTCCATACAGTCACTGAGGCACTGCTGAGGGAAGTCCCCAGCACCTGACAGCAGCCCTGGTGTATCCAGAGGGCAGGGTCCTTCCAGGGCATCAGCCCCCTTGCATCCACACGAGAGGCTAATGGGAGGCTGCTTCCCTCTGTGCCCAGAGGCCAGTGGATGGGTTTGTGGCATGGAGGATTGGGCTTGCTGTCAAGGAGGCCCAACACAGCCCACCAGCCTGGAGGGAGATGTTTAAAACTTTAACACTGCACCAGACTGGCTCTCTCCCCATGCTGGGTGCTTGCTGGGCTTTTGGAAACGGCTGTCAGTGGCTACTGCTCAGCAAAGCTCCTACTCGTTTCCAAGGTTTGGCCGGCGGTCCTTGCGTGGAACAGCTCACAGCCACGGCACCCGGTGCCCAAACAGGGAACACACGGATTAACCCTGGGGAGGAGAGCGCAGCAGGGCTGCTGGCAAAGCACACCTGTGCCACGGGCACCCAGGGAGGGAGCACATGGTGCCTGCGGGCTGAAAGAGAAGCCAGGGGGTGGGAATTTAGCCAGCAAACAGCACCGTGCAGCACAGTGCTGAGGGCTTTTGCTCCTCTTAACGATAGAAGCATTTATTGAAAGGGAGGAGAGTTAGACAATAGGAGAGAATAAAAGTTTTTACTAGATAGAGATAAATGGTCTGACAACTTTATGGGTACTATACAGAAACAAGGTATTCACTTCTGCTCCTTACCATCCTTCTTACCGAGTAAACATTTCCATTTTGGTCAGAAACTAGCAACTTGTTTTGGGGGGATACAACAGCTTTTGTCTTTGAAGCATAATAGCTAGGGGAAAAAAAAAAAAAAAAAAAAAAAGAATAGAGAAGGTTTGCCTCCGTTTTTTTAAAAGAAAGCATACTATCAGCTTTGCGCTTTCTCAGTACCATCCAGTTGTTTGTGGAAGGTGGGCCCCAGGCTCCTGCCATGCGCCAAGTGTGCCCAGCCAGCTTCCTAAACTAGCGAGGCTGCTCATTGCATGTCACTGCTGCTCGGCTTTGAGCTGCTGGGCTCCCTCGCTCCCTCCTTGGCTTGCGAGTTATTCACTTTTGAAAAAACATATCTACCTCATACTGTGCCCATCACTTTGTTCTCCACACGCCTATTCACACGGGCAAACCTCCACTTCTCCTCTCCAGGCAGGCGGCGGTGGCGGGAGGGGAGGCAGCGCGGAAGGGAAGTTAAGATGCGTGCACGGAGCTATTTCCCTCTCCACCACCTTTGGCCAGCTATTGTTGGTCCAACAAAAGGACTCGCTCGCGGGGGATCGGGACCCTGCCATAACGTGGCAGCTCCGGGGGCAATGTGCTGTCCCGGCGGCAAACGCTACCGCTTCTCACCTACCGGGTCCCGCGTGGGCTTCCCGCGTGTCCCCGGGATTGCCGCTCTAAAACCGAGGACATTCCCTCGGCGGCTTCGCGGCCGAACCTCCGCACGGCAGCGCCGTGCTCCCTGCACCGCCGTCCGCACCGTCCGGGCTGGGCAGCGCTCCGCACCGACAACTCGGGCAGGGTCGCTGCGGCCGCAGCGAGAGCCGGGCGGACCGACGGCTACTCCCGCCAGGCGTGGGGAGGCCAAGGCGGGCATTTACCGGGGCCTCCGAGGTTTGGCTATAAGGAAAAGGATGTTTCCCCAGGCGGGCGCGACGGAGCGTCCTCGGAGAATGCAGCGGCGGGGAGAGCCCGGTGCGGCCGGGTGTGGGTTCCCTCTGTGGGCGGACGCGCCGTCGGGGCGCTCCCGGCCCCCGCACCCCGTTCCGCCCCGCCGCGCGCGGGGAGGCCGCCCGGCGCGCGCCGGCCCGGGGCGGGGCGGGGCGGGACAGCGCGTGCCGCCGGCTCGGGCTCACCCCCTAACCCCCCCCAACCCCCCCCGCTCCCGTCCGCCGCCGCCGGCCGCGGGCTCCGCTCCCCCCGCGCGCCATTGGCTCCCCGCACGCGCCGGCCCCGCGCGCGCGCGCGCCATTGGCCGCGCCGACACGCGACCGGCGCGAGTGGAGGGCGTGCGGCGGGAGGGGTGGGGCGCGAGGGAGAGGAGGGGAGGGGGAGCGGGGGCGGGGGGGACCCCGGCGCGTGCCGCTCCTTAAAGGGGGGCGCGAGCGCGGCCGACACCGGAGCCGTCGGGGCGCCACGCGCGAGGCGGGGGCTGCGCGCGGCCCGATGGGCGCGCGGCGCTAGAGCCATGAGCCTGCCCTGGGCAGAGCGCGCCCGCGAGCCGCCCTCAGAGCCGCCGCCGCCCGGCCCGGAGCACGGCGGCTGCGGCGGCTTCGCGCCCGGCTCCTGGCTCGGCGTCTGCTGCGCCGCCCGCCTGCCCGCCGCCGCCTCGCCGCGCTACCTGCTGCCCGCTGAGGACGACGAGGCGGCGGACGGCGGCGCGGCGCGGGGCGGCGGGAGCAGCCCCGGCGGTGCGCGGGGCGGCGGGCGGCCGCGGGGCGGCGGCGGCGGCCCCGGGCTGCGGGCGCAGGTGAGCGGCGTGCAGAAGCAGCGGCGGCTGGCGGCCAACGCGCGGGAGCGGCGGCGGATGCACGGGCTGAACCACGCCTTCGACCAGCTGCGCAATGTCATCCCCTCCTTCAACAACGACAAGAAGCTCTCCAAGTACGAGACGCTGCAGATGGCGCAGATCTACATCAGCGCCCTGGCCGAGCTGCTGCACGGCCCCGCCGCCCCTTCCGACGGCTCCGGCAAGGCCGAGCACCGCGGGGCCCCCTTCGAGCCGTCCTGCGCCGCCGCCGGGGCCGGAGCTCCGTCGGGGCCTCCGGCGCCGCCGCCGGGGCCGCCCAGAGCGTCGCCGCCCGGGCACGGCCGGACTCGCTTCCCCCCGCCGCCGGCCGCGGGGGGCTACTCGGTGCAGCTCGACCCGCTGCACTTCTCCTTTGCGGAGGGCGCCCTGATGGGACAGAGAGCCCCTTCCCCCGCCCTCCTCCTGCCGCAGCCCGGGCAGCCGCCGCAGGAGAGGAGCAAGACGTCGCCCCGGTCCCACAGGAGCGACGGGGAGTTCTCGCCCCGCTCCCACTACAGCGATTCGGATGAGGCCAGCTAAGGCAGGGGCGTCGTCCCCAGCACCCCCGCAAGGCCGCCCCTCGAAGCACAGACTCCGCCGTGGGGTGAGCAGCCGGACGCGGTGCCGCCACGGACGGCATCGGCTCCCCTCGGTCGCTTTGAAATTCGCCCCCTCGTCTCCCACCCCCGGCAGCCCCTGGTTTGTCCAGGGGGGATGGCTGTTAGCGAGTGACTGTACCCGCCCTGTCTGTCAGGGTCGGTTGGTTTGTTTTAATTTTTAGTTTACACTTCGAAAGTTTCTTTCGCCTAGAAGTCGTTGCCGTTCCCTCCTGCCAACACGCCACCTCGCAGCCTTAGCCTTGCTCGCCCCGTCGGCGAGCAGGTGATGCGCAGGGAGAAAGCCTGGCCCCGCTGCCGGGGGTGCCGCCGGCGCCATCCATCCCCACCCAGCCGTGAACCCGCCCTGACACCCCCGTCTTCCAGGACGCCCATCCTGCCGTGGGTCGCATTGCTGTGGAAACACGCACACAAACACAAACACACAAAAGTCAATGGCGCACCGTCTTAACCTGTAAATAGCAGAGAAAAATTGGATTTTCCTTAGAGCACCATGTCGGCGTCTTTTGGGGGGAAACTTGGCGCAAGCACTTTATCAGCGGCTGGAGATGCAGTTTCAAGAGGAAAGCTACTAACTGCCAATTGGAGACCAATGTTTAATTAAGCCACTTAATCCTAACGCTATCTTAAAACGAAAACGGTTTTGTCGTGTCAAACTTTTATGTCAGTTTTATTTTCCTTTTGTGGTAATAGGAAACGTATTTATTATGCAGTGTTTGCATTTATTTCTGCTTCTCTCTTTTTTAAAAAAAATTCTTTTCTACGACGAAAATCGTTTATTTTGATTTTAGCAACGCCAGCTGCCATTGTTTTATGTATTTTAATTTTGAAATTTTTTTGACATCAAATAAACGTGAAAAAAAAAAAAAAAAAAAAACCAACAAAACAACCAAAACAAAATAAGCCTCGAATCGTGATCGGGTTCAACTTTCCCTTGGCCCTCCCTGAGCCGGGGTGGTGTCAAACTCCGCGGCGGGGGTGAGAGGTACAGAGCCGGGGACAATGCTCCCACCGGGGCGCCCCGGCTGCCTGCAGAGGGACGGGCGAACCCTGGGGAATGCGCCCGGCGTGGAGCAGCGCTCCCTCCGCTCCCTGCGCCGCCGGGACCCCGTCCCGTTCCCGTCCCGCAGTTCCCAGCGGAACCGGGTAATTGCCACAAGTGCAGGGTAAGGAGCTTCTCGCTGTTCTGTAGCGCCTGTCCCCGCACCGCCGCTCAGGTCACATCATTCCCTTCTTCCCCACTCCTCTTCTCGGGGACAGGAGCGGATCTTCCCACGGAGCCTCCTCGGTATAAGCCAAGCGGAAAGGGCTGGGAGCGGGCGGAAAAGCCGGCGGGGTTTCGGGGACACGCGAGCAGCGCGGCGGGTCGCCGGGGATCAGGATGTGGCCCCTGGGCTCGGCTCAAACCCGGACGGAGTGGGAGATTGGCTGACGCCTAGCCCAGCCTGCCCGTGACACCAGAGCCGGGGCCAAAGCGGAGCCGTGCCGGTGCGGGGTCCCGCTGGGTTCAGCAGGTGACGCTGGCAGGGGCTGTCGGAGGGGTGATCAGTTACCCAGGCGCGGCCGGGGCAGCGGCCCCGCGGGACACAAGCCCGTGAGGGTGTCGCTTTCCCTGTAGAAACAGGGCACCTGCCCCCCCGGTAACCCCGCGCTGTCGCCCTGCCCTGCTCGCCGCCAGTACCTGCCGAAGCGGGCTGCGGTCCCGCAGGGTGGAAAGTTTATCGGGAGGGTCATTTGCCTTCCTAATAAAATGCCTGCTTTGTCGGGGTAGGTCAGCTTTGGTTACCGGCACTGATTTCTGTGCTGTGGGAGACGGTCTTGCATCTTGGGGGGCACCCGAGGGGTCCCATCACGGGAGTGATGCGGCGGAGCAAAAACCCACCAACTTTGGGAGCGTTGTTTGGTTTATTTGGTTTAATTTGGGGATGTGCTCGGCGCGGGGGAAGCGGCGGCCGCCGCGGTGGCTGAGGGGCAGCAGCCGCGGAGGGGTCCCGGCGCTGCCGGCCGTGGGTGGAAGCGGTGCGGGCAGCCTCTCTCCGCCCCGCTGTCCCGGGCTCTGCCTCTGCGGCTGCGAACACTCGAGGAGGTGGAAAAGAGCGCATCAAAATCCTCCCTGCTCCCTCGGTCGGGTCCCTTCCCCCGACAGACGAGCGCACCGCATGGCGCGGCTGGTGCTCGCAGCCGCAGCGCAGCAGCACTCGCCGTCTGAGGGGCTTTTTCTTCTTCTTTTTTTTTTTTTTTTTTTTTTTTTTTAGCTCTTCTTTGAAAGAGATACCCAGCCGCATTCCCATTTTAAGGTTCAGCTATAGAGTTTGCATAACAACCGCTTGGCAGCCCCCCTCTCTCGCACTCCGTTAACAAGCTGTAACGTATAGCTGCAGGTTGCTATAATCTCATTAATATTTTGGAAACTTGAATATTGAGTATTTCAAACCGCTCATTCCCCATATGCCAGGCCACTCCCGCTATGCTGGCTGGTTCCTTTCTCTCCATTATTAGCAATTAGCTCCTACCTTCCAAAGTCAGATCCAAGTATCCAAGATACTAGCAAAGGAATCAACTATGTGTTGCAAGCTAAGCATGCTTAATATCTCCCAAACAAACAAAGAGACAACATTTCTTTAAGTAATGAAGATGGATAAATCGCTTTATTGAGCCTGCGACAGTGTTTGTTTTGTATAGACTACCGCAAAGTTTTTTAACAAGAGCGGAGACGCGCACCAGCCCCTGGAAGCAGTCTCGCCCGGGTTGCTTCGTGGGGTTTTATCATCCTAAACGGGCTTTTATTTGAAAAGGGCGAGTCAGAAGCGCACTATCCGAGCGTTAAATTTTGGCTGAACGCTGACTGTCCTCCGGGGTGTGCGAAACGAGCGCGGGGGCTGGGGGGGCTCGGGGAGGCAGCCGCCTTTGTGCGAGGCGCACGGCGGCTCCGCTGGCTTTGGAGCGCGGATCAAAGCCGGACGAAGCGCGGCCGCGAACTCCGGTGCGGGGCTCAGCCCGGCCGCCCCGGCGCGGGGACTTCGGGGCACGGAGCGGGGCGAGGCGCGGCGGCCGAGGCGCATCTCTGCCCTGCAGATCTCCGGCTGCTGTTTGCTCAACCTCTGGCCTCGGGGAGGGAGGAGGAAGGGAAGGGGGAGAAAGGGTTAAACCCAGCGAGGGGAGACCAGAAAAGCGCAGGGACCACGGCGGGGGGAGTGGGGGGTTAGAAGGGGAGTTGGCCGTGGGGCCAGTGTTTCTTAATTAGAGCGGGGCGGACAATGCTTTGGGGCGGACAATGGGGGGGACAGGGGGGCTGGAGGGCGGAGGGGGGGTCTGGCCTCGCTCCCGGCCGCGGTGCGCCGTGTCTGGAGCGGAGCACGCGTTGTCAGCTGGTGAGCGCAGCGGCCTTTCAGGCGGCTCCCCAGGGAGCTGCGCGCCCGCGGTGAGCTCCATCGTCACCCCCTCCCCTCCATCATCATCATCATCGGCCTCCTCCTCCTCGGCGGCCCCCCACCCCAGCCGAGCACAACAGCCAGCATTCAAGCCCCCTTCCCTCCCTCCCCTCGCACAACAGCAGCGCAGTGGCAGCCACGCCACCTCCCAGCAACCAGCAGCACGCGAGGGCACCGCCGGGGCACCTGAAAGAGTCAAAGCCAAAGAAAGAGAGACAAAGGAGGAGAAAAAGATACGCAGGAACGGCCCAGCGTGTCTGCTCCGACAGCACGGAGGGGCAGGCGCCCGCAGAGGGATGGGCGAGCCCACGCGGGGCCCGGCAGGCCCGGGCGCGCACACGCGTGGCCGCACGCACACACGTGCACTCGCTCGCAGGGGTCCGGGCCGCTGCAGCACTGATGGACACGCAGAAATCCCCCGCTCCCGGCAGCTTTGCCTCCCACACCCCCGTCCCCGCGAGGGGCACCCTCCGGCTTGTGTCTGTCTGTCTGTGTGCCCGACTCCCGCGGCCCCAGCTCTGACACTGCCACCCACGGGCACCGGGGCCAGGACGCGGCAGGAGCCGACCTTGTGTCCGGTCACCCACCGTCGCATGTGCCCGTGGCGTGCCTGTCCGGGAGGGAAAACTGAGGGGAAAGTGGCCAGGGATCGGGTGGTGCGTGAGTGAGGCGGGGACCCTGCCGGCCCCGCCTGGGGAGCACCCTCTCCGCGGGCAAGCCAGGCTGGAGCAGCGAGGAGCTGCCGGGGAACAAGGGGTCAAATTTTCCGCCCCTGGCTAAGTCATTGCACGCGGAAGGGGCTTTGCTCGGGGCTGTGTGTCCGCCGGGATGGGGCGCACGGCCGGCTGCCCTCCTGGAGCTGGGTTGTGGCCTCGGAAAGACCCATGGTGCCCTGCCGCCAGCCCATGTTAACTTCAGGCGGACTGTCCCTGCAGGAACCCCCGGGAGTGGATGGATGGGAGCGCGGCTCCGCCGGCTGCGCGGCACCTGTGCGATGGGTGCGCTGCCACTGCTGCCGCTGGCCATCTCCAGGCTGCCCAGAGCGGGGCAGACAGAAAGGCCTCCTCTGAAGCGCTATCGAATGGCTCGGGATGCCTTCGGGAGCCCAGCCAAGGAGTGTCAAAGGCGGTTTGAGCGGTGAAGCATTTAAACGCTTCAGTGGGTGACTTTCTGGCGTGCGCTTTTCTCCCTCCCTGCTTAGGCCCGGGAGGAGGGAACAGGCCTTTCTACTGAGCTCCTCCGGGGCTGGATGCGACACCCCCAGCCCCCCAGCCCGGTGCCGCAGCCGGGATGCGACACCTCCAGCCCCCCAGCCCGGTGCTCTTCCCCGCAGGGCAGAGGGAAGAGCTCAGGTCTTCTGCCGCTTCCCGCAGCTTTTCGCTCCCGGCTCGGTTTAACCGAGGCTGTTCGGGGTGGGGAGGTGCCGGCCCGTCGCTCCCGCTGCAGCACGGAGTGCAGCTGGGACTTGGGATGGGAGATTGTGCAGCGCGGG